ACTCTAGTCCTCAATGAGGTTGGGATTACTACCCGGCTACCCCATAGGACACACCCCTTGAAGGTGGAAATCTCGTGCTTCCTCTGCCAGAAGCTCTGGAATTCTGAGCCTGGATATGTGTGAGGCCATCCAGACAATGCCCAAGTCAGCACGCATGTTAGCGTGTTATCGGTGGCTGTTTCTGCAGCCACATCCCTAGCACTGAGGGGAGATTCAGGCAAGTCCTGAATAGACAGGATGCGATTGGCAGGTGCTGGTCTGCCTCTATCTGCTGTAATGGCAACCTGCTGAGACCATCTGCATGACCCATTTCTTTGCCTGGCTTGTGAACCAGTGTATGGTCATATGCAGACAGGAAGATAGACCATCTCAGCATTCTGGGGGATATTATGTATGGGGTTTATTTGTTCGTTGTAAACAACCCCAGCAGTGGCTTATGGTCTGTAAAGACCGAGAAGTGGCGGCCATATACGAAGTCATGGCCAGCCACTATGGCTAAGGCTTCTCTATCTATCTGTGCATAATTGCGTTCAGCTGATGATAGGGTTCTAGAGTAGTATGCTATTTGGACTTGTGTTCCATCAGCCTTCAAGTGACTTAACATAGCCCCAATCACATAAGGGGACACATCACAGGCGATGCACACTGGCAAGTTCTCATTGAAGTGCGCAAGGACTGCATTTGAAGAGAGCGAGGCCTTGACCTCTTTGAAGCTCTTTTCATCTGATTGTATCCACTGCCACAGGGACTTTTTGTCTAAGAGCCAGTGTAATGGCTCAGCCACTACAGCCTTGTGAGGAAGGAATGAATGGTAAAAATTTAGCAGTCCCAGAAAGGCCTGAAGTTTGCCCTTGGATTTGGGACTTGGGGCCTGCTGAATTGCTGGCAGCTTGGATTCAGTTGGGTGGATGCTCTGAGCATCAATGCAGAATCCTAGAAACTCCATGGAGGTAACCCTGATCTTGCACTTGTCTTGCTTAAGCTTCAGCTCCGCTTGGCGGAAACGTAGCAAAACGGCTCTCAGCCTTTCGGCTAAATTGTCAGCTGAGTCCCCAGCGATGAGGACATAGTCAAAGTATGGGCAAACGCCAGGGATATTTCAGAGCATTCACTCCATTACACTCTGGAAGATGCCAGGGGCCACGTTTACTCCAAATTGCAATCTTTTTACTTTGAATGCCGCCCTGTGAGTCACTATAGTTTGGGCCTTGGCCGTTTCCTCATCAACTGGCAATTGTTGATAGGCCTGAGCCAGGTCAAGCTTAACAAAGATCTGGCCCCCCTTGAGGGAGGCTAGAATGTGACTGACCACTGGTACTGGGTACGAATGCTGCTGCAGCACTTTGTTAAGCATGCACTTGTAGTCCGCACAGATTCAGACTTCACTATTGGCCTCCAGTGGCATAACTATGGGCATTTCCCATGGACTACTGTCCACAGGCTCTAAGATACCCTGCTGAATCAGTTTACCCAGCTCTGCATTTATTTTTCTCTTTAAGGCAAAGGGCACCCTGTGTGGCTTGATTCTAATGGGGGCTATAGCTGGGTCTAGCCTCAGAGAAATAGGAGGGCCTTTGTAGGAGCCAAGTTCTGGACTAAACACATCTGCAAACTCCTTGCAGACCCCAGCCAGGCCTGTTGTTTGCATGCTGTGTATTCCAGTCACCTGAATTCCCAGGGCCTCAAACCAGTCGAGTCCAATGAGACTCGTACGGTCTCCCCCAACCACAACTACATCCAATAGCCCCTCAAAACTCCTACGCTGCACCTTGAGTGTGGCCTCCCCCCTCACGCTGACTCTGGAATTTTGAAAATCTGTGAGGATGAGGTTTAACAGCCTGAGTTTCACCCGTAGGCCGCTTCTGCTGCAGACCTTGTTCAAGGTGTCTAGGGAGATGATCGATAGAGCAGATCCAGTGTCCAGCTCCATCGACAAGGGGACCCCTTGCAATTTCATGTTGATGTGAAGCTTCTTCCTAAATGGCCTGTGGACCCCCATTCTAAAAACGCTCCTGTGTGACACGCAGAAGCCCACCCTGTTCTGGCTGGGGACCCTGGTACCTTCCTGAGGCAATTCTTCTGGGTAACGTTCCTTCTGGCGACCCAAACAGATGGAGGCAATGTGGTCTTGCCTCCCACAGGCCCTGCAGATGGTGGAGCGGAAACGGCAGTCTGTGCGGCGATGGTGGCCTCCACACCCGATGCACCAAGGGGATGATGCTGGCTGGGCCTTCCCTCCATGAGGCCTTCTCCCTGGAGTCTGATGCAGCCGGTCCACTTCCAATTCTGGATCCTGTTCGGATTCTTCGTGAGCAACCTCTTGATGGACGGTGGCTGGAACTTGAGGGGGCTTGGAGCGCTGCAAGGCCCTCACAGCTCCACCTGCTGCTTCTTCAGCTGAAACTTCCCTCAGGGCATCTTGGAATGTGAGGCCTTCCTTTGTGAAGAGCTTCTGCTGCAACTCCCAGCTTCGCAGGCCACAGACCAACCGATCCTTCAGTCTCTCCTCCAAGTCTTTGAATTCGCAGGGCCTAGCTGCTTGTCGCAAGGCCGCAACAAACTCTGCTGCAGACTCACCAGGCCTCTGGTCCCTCTGCTCGAACGCGTGTCGCCAGGCAATCACTGAGAGCTTGTGTTCAAAATGCTCTCGAAGCATCCTCTTCAATTCTGTGTAGGTGATTGATTCCAGTGATGCTGGGGCAACCAGATTCTCCGCAATCTCGAAGGTCTCTTGCCCGCACATACACAGCAGCGTGGCAGCTTTGAGGTCATCTTCACGAATTTGATTCACCTGGAGGTAGTTCTCAATCTGGGCTACATATGAGCTCCAGCATTCTGGGTGAGCTGTGTCAAATTCTGAAAGCCGGCCTATCTTTGCCATCATTTCAGCCCAGGAACTTCATCCACGCCTCTTGCTGCAAGGATTGAGAAGGGGCCCCCTTTTCTGAGCTCACCTCCAGCGTCTCAGTGCTGGCAGGCTAAGTCAATCTCCAGGAGCCACACTTCTCCGAGCTGCAAGCCCCCCTGTGGTGAGTCAGCTTGGCTTCTTAATCTGTTTGCCTTGCAGGCATCCCATCCTCATCGCCAATGTTCTGTTTCAGGAAAAGAGGCATTGAGACGAAGCAACGAAGCAACGAGTTCTAACACTCTCCTTTATTGCAACATCAACAGAACAGGTTTTAAAATGATGCGGTCCCCTTTTATAGCCCCCCCCCTGCACAATACCTTGCTGGCCAATCATTGCAAAGGCTGGAAACAGCCTTTCTTGTCCCGGGCATCCACATGATCTGCCCAGGCCAATTGCTGCAGCCTATGCCTGCCGGCCCAGGACATAACACATCGCATAGATAATGTCATTATTTTAACCGAAAGTTTGAGGGCCTGGGTGGTGAGGAAATAGGATGAAAGTGAATGCTAACTTAGCTGTCTGTCTATTGTGGGTTGCTGATGTTTACAGATGTATCTTGATAGATGGCACTTCCCATGAAGAAACAAGTTCATGACTTGGGTGTCCTCCTGGAATCATAACTGGACACTTGGAATTTGTGCCAGGAATATTCTTGTCCAACTTCCACATGCAATCTTCCTGAATGGAAGAATTTCTCAGCAGTGATGCTCGTACAGATAACTGCAATGTACTCTACATAGGGCTGTTTTTAAAGACTATCCAGAAGCTTCAAACTGTCCAGAATTCAGCCTCCTGCTTGTTGGTGGAGTATATGCTGACATGCACACATGACCCAAATACTCCAGGGTCTGCATTGGCTGTGTATTAGTGTCTTGGTATAAATCAAACTGTTGATTTTGACCTTTCAACTCCTATTTAACTTTACTGTATCAGTAAAGCTGGTGATGGAAAATCTAATCCATAGAAATATATGTCAGTTCCCAACCTGACTCCCTTCACCAGTGCTGGATTACAACATCTATAATCCACAGCCCAGGTAGTACAATGTTTGCTGCTAGGGGAGTTTGAAGGTACAGTTTTTCATTCCTATAGATCCTTAGCTTGATGAAGATGGACTTACCTCATAAAGCATTTGTTCATTTTTAAGACACTATGAAGCCCCTTTATACCTTTATCATCATGTTGTTTCCCTAAGGGGACTTATAATTTCCAATCAGAAATGATAACACAGGCAGCAGCTTTGGAAGAACTATACTGAAGGTCGTATATGCTTACTGTCATTTTCTACTCCTCTTTGCTTTGTGGTTTTTGTACCTATTATGAGGCCATTTCAACTTCAACATAGCAGCTGCCCTCTTTTTTTCCGCTATTGTGGAACTGTAGACTGTTTTTGATCTTTCCAGGAAAATCCCCTACCCTATCGATTGCCAGAGGAATAGGCATAGGTTAAGAAATAGGAATAGGGTTAAGTAGTTCACTGGGGCTGTGCCTTCAGTGCTGTTCTCCTCACTGTCTGCCTGCTGTTTGAAAAAGCCACAATAATTCCTGCCCAGAGGAGGACACCTGGACAGGTGTCAGCAAGGGCAGGGTCTATAAAGGGAAATGGCTCCATCTACTGTACTTAATTTGTACTGATTTTGTAAGCAGTGGTGCTGGCTTGAAGCTGTAAGACTTTTTTTTCAGTTTTAAATATATATTTAATACTTCTACTATCAAAGCTTCTCTCCGTTCTCTCTTTTTCTTGCAGACACCCATGCACATGTGGTTTAAATTTATGCTGTGCCAAGATTTGCTTTACAAAATTCTTTGAGGTTTTCTACTATTTAAGAAAAGAATTTTTTCTCAAGGGACCTGAGAAATTGGAGGGGGCAGAGAATTCTCCTGCTGGTATTACTGTGTTTTGTCACAGAAGTCTCTGAAGTTTCTTAGGCTGTCCATTTTTCACAGGCTGAAGAAGCACCATGAGTTATTTCCATTTGGGGTTTAATTGGAGCATGGGAAGTCATGGAGGCTGAGGGCTGCTGAACAGATGAATGATTGCACAATGAAAGAGAGCTGTGCCGTGAATTAAAATACTCTTACCTACTCTTACTTTTATTTGTCTTGATTCTGTTGTCCTTTTTCATGTTATTATTATTTTCTTTTTCCATCTTCATTCACAATATCCTAAAGATAGAAATCCTATGTTAAGAATTAACATAGATTTTGTTGTTTGACATTGTTAATAGAGGAAGTGGCTTGCTACTGCAAATTTTAATAACTTAGCATTATAGCATGGTAGCTGAACATAAATTGCTACTAGATTCTGTGAAAAAAGAAGAAAAGTTGGCTGTAATACAAGAATCTGGAATATTTTTTCCATATGACAATTCCTATGATTAATATTTTTAGAAAATGTTCTGAAATCTTTCCAAATTACATGAAAAAAATGAGACCAAAATAAAGTTCCTTAGAATTACTGTGTTGGGAATGACCCGAAATGTCATCTACTCCAACATTCTGCTCAGTGCAGGATTTCCTAAACATTTCAGACAGAACGGTATCCAGCCTCTGTTTGAAGAGAACATATGACTTTATAACACAGCCTATTCCACTGATTGATATCTCTTATTGTCAGAGATTATTCTTAATATCTAACCTGAATCTACTTCTTTGTGGTGTCAACTCAATGCTGGTCTTATCCTCTGATAGAGGGTAGGTTTATCAGTTTCCACACTGTCATTGGGAACCAAGTTCAACTTGAAGGAGTTTTTATTTTCTAGCTAGAAGTATCATGTCCCAGTGTGTTTTTAAGGATAGACATAATGATTGTGGAACAATCTTTGGAACAAATAAAGAGGGTTGAGAAAGTGTTTTCTCAACACTCTCAATCCCTTCAAATCCTTACAAGTGATAAACATGACCTTATAAGCAAGCCAAACATAACTCTTTTCTTCCTTAAATGATGGGAGTCTAGTTCACTTTATTGTCCCTGTGTCGATCAAGATGTGTCACAATGACCTAAAGCTATTCAGAATAAGAACAGGGGACGCCTGTGGGGTGACCACACTGTTCCATCTTCTGCTGTGATAAGATTGACTAAAACCACTCAGTTTTTATAGACACTGGACAAAAGTGGCAACATCCAAAGAGAAAGAACAGTACTAAACTTTAATCAACCCCTTTTTTCATCACTGCCTCAAAATATATACATGCCTTTTCGTCCCTGACAAAATGGGAACATCAAATATCTCAATGCACTGCTCTAAGGTAGCTGTACATCTCTTTGTCCAATTTATTTAACCTCATGCCATCATTTGTGTTGTCTATTTTATTCATCACTTCTTTTCTAATTGAGTTGTAGAGTATTATGTCTCAATTTGAGCAACTTAAAGGTGTGTGGATTTCAACTTCCAGAATTCCCCAGCCAGGATGCTTCTGAGAGTTGAAGTCCACACATTTTAAAGTTGATTAGGTTGAGAAACTGCTATAGACTAGAGCAGGGGTTGGCAACCTTAAACACTCAAAGAGCCACTTGGACCCGTTTCCCACGGAAAAGAAAACACTGGGAGCTGCAAAAGTTGTGCGCGCATCCGCAGCGGAAGGAGAAAGGCTTGATTGAAGAGTTTAATTAAAAAGAAATAGAGGCTGCTGTCCATGAGTTCTCTCTCTCTCTCTCTCTCTTTTTCTCCCTCTTTTTCTCTCCCTCTCTCTCTTTCTCCCTCTCTCTCTTTCTCTTCAGCTGCTGTTTATTGCTCCACCCCTCTACTATTTTTACACCAGCCTGTTGCAAAATCTAATAAATGAATTAATGCTCCTTCTATTAGCCCCAGCTTCACCTACCGCTATTCCTATATAACAGAGAGCTGGTGATGTTGTATAAAGATCAGTTATAAAAAACAGTGGTCCCCTTACTTATAGTGTTCAGAAAGTATATTCCCTCATTACTAGTGAGCATTTGTGATAGCAGAATTTGTAATGGCCTTTCTGGAAAAGTCCTCACCTGAGAGGAAGGCAGCACTAAGCCCAGCAAATCTAATAACAGCAGGACATGCTACTGAAGCCTTGGCAGAGTCATCTTTCCATACAGGCCTGACTCTCAAGCCCTGACTGTAGCAGAGAGGGTGTCCAAGCCCTGAGAATGACAAAGGGCGGGGACATAAAATAATACCAGATTGCTCTGAGGAATACCTTGGAAATAGTGGCTTCATGGGGAATAAAGGCCAACTCTGGCCCACCACAAAGCTAGACTAATTATTTTATGTGGATTTTGGCTGTGGAGGAACTTGGTGGGAAATGCTGACAGGGACAGAATGGGAAACAGGAAGCTGTCAGGGTTAGTGGTGGGAAATACACTGGCTTAACAGCTGCCATACCACAAATAGCAAACCATCAAGTTCATGTCCTTGGTTCCCATAGTTTAGCTGCAATCAGTGGTGGGATTCAGCCAGTTCGCACCATTTCGGCAGAACCGGTAGCTAATTTTTTTGTTGCTCAGAAGCATCCACACAGGGAACTGGTTGTTCACATATTGGAATCCCACCACCAGCTACAATGCATTCCTGTGCAAAATTATACGGATCAGAAAGCATTGCTGGAAGTGAAGTAATAATCCTATCTTCCACCTGACTGAAAGAAAATGTCACCTGCCAGAGAAGATTAGAGCAAGCCTAGATTTTCTTTATCCTACTTTCAGTCTTGCTCAACAGCCATTCTAGCTGGGCATTACTGAAGTTGAAGTTCAACAAAAATGGAGGTTATCAGATTGACAGTATCTCATTACTTCTTTTTAAAATGTACAGATCGGCTTTCTGTTCTCCTTTTACTATATGAAAAGGACGAAGAACATCTAGCTGTATAGGGCTAAATATCCAACAGATAGAGACTGAAATAACCCTCCCAAACAATTAGTAATAGGAGAGCAATTTTTTTGTAAATGTTCCCACTCAGATGACTGCTAGAGATTCTGCTTCACTCATTTTCTATTTCAATTCTTCATCGAATAATAGTGAGGATGAGCAAAATAGTCACACGTTTTCAATTTTGCAGTTATATCAAATTTGGTTTGGTTTTCTTTTTAATATTTGGAATACATTTTCAGTACTTTTTAACTTTGCAACAAAGGGTCTTTTGCTTTGGACTAATGCATTTTTGTTTATAATCTTGTCTGCTTATTAGATTTCCTTCTATTTGCATGAATTTGAGCATTTTGTACAGGCAACTATATTCTGCAAAATTACAATGCAAAATTCAATGAACTGTACATCTCTAATGATAGCTAGAGTTTGGTTCAGATGAATTGGTTTGAAAATACAAAATGAAGCAAATTCAAACTCAGATGTAAACTAAACAAATTGTTCATCCCTGCCTAACAGCATCTTCTGGTGCATATCTCAAGAAGGAACTACTTAAAAGGGGCTACTAACCTAGTGGAGGGACTAGATCTAGTGGTTTGAATTTCTGCCCTTTTCCACTACCAGCTTTGTAAGTGTGGACCTGTGAAAGGAATCCCCTCCTAAGGCCATCTTCTTCTCCCAATTTTTGTTTCAGAACTCCAGTAAATATTCTTTTTTCCCTAGAATTAATCTATATTAACTGATCAAGCCTGGTCCTTTTGTCAAATAGTGGCCTTTTGGCTAAGATCAAGTGTGAAATTCGTAACAGCGTATATAACTATGCACTCAAAACTATGAAAGCTTGTGCAAAACTAGTCAAAAGTGTCACTGCAACAATCAGGTCATATTATTTCTAGTCCTTCAGTGCTTGAGTGTGTTTCCACATACAGTATTTGGTTTGAATACAATAAGCACAGAGGACTGGATTTTTTTAAAAAAAGGAAAATCTATATAAAGCAGTCTTTTAATATTATTTCAATTTTTTTATAAACGCAAAAATGGACTTTCTTTTTCATGAGTACTCTATTGTGACTGCCTTGTGGTCAATGGCCCACATTCTTAGAACCTGCTATTATCTATCTATCTCTGTCTGTCTATGTGTATACACAGGCCCTTTGACTCATTTTTTTTTAACTCCTGGTGACTGCCTGGACTAGTATCTGACAAGGTTTTGGAAGCCATTGTCTCCTTTTAAGGGCTGAGAGAAAGTAAATAGCTCAAGGTCACCCAGCTGACTTTGTGACTAAGGGATAAAGCTCCAGGTCTCTCCGTCTGTAACCTGGTGTCTTAACCACTGCACTAAACTGTCTCTTGCTTCTATCACCAAATTTTTGCCATTCAGATTATAGGTCTAGGACAGGGGTAGGCAACCTTGGCTCTTTTATGATTTGTGGACTTCAACTCCCAGAATTCCTGAGCCAGCTATGCTGGCTCAGGAATTCTGGGAATTGAAGTCCACAAGTCATAAAAGAGCCAAAGTTGCCTACCTCTGGTCTAGGAGGTAACAATATAGCATTTATTTTTATTGGTTATTTCCCCCCTTTTTTTGCTGGGAGGTGGGATCCTATTTATCTCACAGGCTAAGGATGTCACATGAGAACATTCTCCTGGAAAGTACTGGCAGCAGTTGCACCAAGTAAGACTGTGGGTTGCTTGCCCAGAAAAGAGTTTGACCAACTCAGATAGTATGGTCAAAAATATTCTATTGCATACTATCAATAGAAGAGAACATTTGTGGCTCAGAGTTGAATGTGGAATCCTTGGTGCTGTCTGACCTTGGTTGTTGGCTTTCAGACTTTTGTTTCCTAACTAGTTAACATAATCGGGTGCTAGTGAATGGGCAGTTTGTTTCCAATTTACATACATTTCCCCTGCTAGGGTTTTTGTCTCCATAGTTCCTTGATTAGAGTTGTTTTCTGTTTGATTGATGTCTGGTGTTAATCCAGGAAAAACAATATGAGATTAACAGGAGGAGTTTGCTTGCTGCATTAGACAGAAGGGGAATGGAAGGGACCAGATAGTAAAGAAATATGGCAGGGGGGAATACTGAGGAGGAATTCTCCAAATCCAAGTCAGTTCAACCATCAGCTGCAAACTTTTCATTGTGTTCACGCATTCTATTTCACTGTAAAGCAGTAGAAAGTCTCATTTTGGCCTCACTCATTACAGGTAGTCCTCGAGTTACAACCATAACTGACCCCAATATTTATGTTGCTAAGTGAAACATTTTTAAAGTGAGTTTTGCCCCATTTTACAACCTTTCTTGCCAAAGTTGTTAAGTGAATCACTGCA